TTCATTTATTTCTCGTTACCTTCGCCTCTGTGAAGAAAGTGATGCGAAACCTAGTGAATTTAGACGAAGTCAATGTGTCGGTTAGTCAAATTAACGTCTATAAAGCAAACCTATTTTGCGGTCTGTTCATGCCACGACCTATGATAATGTGTCCATATATGCCGGACCCGTGTTTAGTCTCTTCAGAGTCCATTGAAATTTGGCACACAGTCTCCATGTTGCACGCTGCTTTTCGGAATTTGAAGCAGCAGCTTTCGTCTGATTTCGTGGGCGTAGTTGTAGTTGTCCTGATAGTCACATTCGTCGGCGTTTCTGCTAGCGTTGATGGATTACTCGGTTGCGTAAGGCAAGTAGATGGTAATCTGGGCCCTGTGTGCCACCTCTACCAAAATTTTCAGCGTTGTACTTTATTAAATAATTGTTTTCTTGAATTCTATGAGTACCCATACATATTTAGAATTGTAGTTTTTAGCCTTCTCTTATTGAATAGAGGGGTTTGTCATATCTTACTAATTCGTTTGACCATCTGTGAAAATCTTGCGGCCTCGGTTCGATTCGAACACACGAAAGCCGTGGATGCAGGTTGCCGTGATTTTAATCACATTTAGGCGAACTTACCCACTGAGCCTATTGCAACCTAGGAAACCGACCCATTTGGATGCATTAAGTTGACTGTCTAAGCAGCATTCCCTAAGCACTCAATGAAGAATCCATCAGATGTCTATCAGGCTGGGCCGATAAATTGATCCAATTGTGGTTAGACTCAGGGCATCCGGTGAGGCCTCGTAACTGAGCTCCGGCTGTACTGGTGACTTTCCTTTGCTGTCGTGGGTAGGAATCTCACCGAGACCGCTGTATTTTTCAGGGATGGGTCGAATGAACTTCTGCTATTTTTCCGAAGCTTTTTTGCTAGGTAAATTTACCTGCTTGTTAGTTCTGTCGAAAAAATTACGAAGATATGACCTTTCGGCATTCTTTGGCCAATACGATGCTGTCTCCTTCCATTCTTTGACAGAGGGCAGGCAGAACTGCGTTTTTGGGAAGGAAGTAGTTGCTTTTGAAATTCAGTTTTTGCCTAAGGTTTTAAGCTACCCAAAATGCTTTGTCCTGCTGCATCCGCCTACATACTGAGGTCTGAGGACATCAGGAATGAGCAGTGGACTTCACTAGTTCTGCCTCTATGTTCTAGTGGACGTTTGCGCTCAATAAGCTGACTATTTATTTTCGATGCTCAATAGGTTTCGCGTGGATGACACAAAGTGTGTTATCAGCACAATTATCTCAGAATTTCGGTTGATATCTCCTAAACATCAAGCATCTTTTCTGTTCGAGGACGACTTCTACCAAACAGTGGGCAAC